CCCCTTCTTCCTCCTAACATTCTTCTCCTGTCCACCCCAGTGCCGCCGTACACCATTGTCTACTTCCCAGTTCGAGGTAGGAGCTAGCAGCTGCAGGAAGGGGAGGTCTGGGGTAGGGGCTGCAGCCCACCGTTCCCATCCGTCCTGGGGAATCTCCAGTTCATCTTTGACCCACTTCTGGTTACAAGATTCTGCTTTTCTCACCATGCCCTGTCCCCTGACACGAGGTGGCTTTGAGGCTGGGCCTATACACTGTCCCCACATCCTTACCCTGACTCCATACAGGGCGTTGTGAGGCCATGCGCATGCTGCTGGCTGACCAGGGCCAGAACTGGAAGGAGGAGGTGGTTACCATAGATACCTGGATGCAAGGCTTGCTCAAGCCCACTTGTGTGAGTGACACACATGGTGGAGGGGGCAGGGGTGGGCCTCAGGAGGCTGTAACCGGGAGACAGCAGCCTCAGCAAGCTTTGTTCCTCCCTCCAGCTGTATGGGCAGCTCCCCAAGTTTGAGGATGGAGACCTCACCCTTTACCAATCTAATGCCATCTTGAGGCACCTGGGCCGCTCTTTTGGTAAGTCCTGAACCCAGGTGGTCCAGCTGGTGGGCAGGGTGGTGATGGGGGTATCAGTCATTGTTTCAGGAGGTGTCTGCCCTTGTGGCCACTCCCCTTTAGTTCAGTGTGGACAGAGCAAAACAGGGACACACAGAGATTATCCTTGTTCAGGCTGCAGCTGTGGTCCGCCTGCCATGGTTTCCTGTTGCCTCTCATGAGCTCTGGACTCACATGACTGCCCATATCCCCTTCCCCCAAGACTGGGACCTGTGACAGGCACGTGCCTGGGGACAGGGGTTTGAGGTGAGGAAATCAGGGCTCAGTCATGCTGTCTCTCCCAACCTGCAGGGCTTTATGGGAAAGACCAGAAGGAGGCTGCCCAGGTGGATATGGTGAATGATGGGGTGGAGGACCTTCGCTGCAAATATGTTACCCTCATCTATACCAACTATGTGAGCCTCTATCCCCCTGGGGGGGGGGGTTAGGGAGGGGTCTTGATGAGCAAAGGAGCTTTGTGCACTTCTGCCTCCCTAGTTTCCTTTCCTGTGTCAGAGCCCAAGTCAGGCTGGGGCAGGCTGGGGCAGTGTAAAGAGCACCAATAGACAGCTTCAGGAGGGGAGGGGCTGCCAGGTGTAGAAGAGCATGTGTGCCCACGTGTGTGTCGGTGTGTGCATAGGGGCGCAGAACATGAGGAGACAGAGCTGGGGCAGCAGGCCAGAGCTTAAAGCCCTTGGACATCCTGGTTTGGACTCTGTGGGCCTATTGAAGAATCTCTCTTCATGGCTGGCTTTAAATGTGAAGCTCTGAATGTCCTCAGTGCAGCCAGCTCTGAGAGCTTTACAGTAATAAAGACCAGAGAACTAGGCTGAGGGTGGTACCACACACCTGCTGAGGCACTGTGACCTGAAGCTGTCCTGATGGAGGATGGCACATCTTTGTGTGTCTCCATGGCAGGAGAACGGTAAGGATGACTATGTGAAGGCCCTGCCTGGGCATCTGAAGCCTTTTGAGACCCTGCTGTCCCAGAACAAGGGAGGCAAAGCTTTCATCGTGGGTGACCAGGTGAGCATCTCTTGCATTTCCTTTTCCTTATGGATAATGACATTTGTAAAATGGAGCAGGACTCAGGGGTGTGGGTGTCCTCAGCTCTCTGCCCCCAGTCCCAGCCTTCTCCCAGCTCTTGATGCCCACACCTCCTGCCCCTGCAGATCTCCTTTGCCGATTACAACTTGCTGGACCTGCTGCTGATCCACCGCATCCTGGCCCCTGGCTGCCTGGACAACTTCCCCCTGCTCTCTGCCTATGTGGACCGCCTCAGTGCCCGGCCCAAGGTCAAGGCCTTTCTGTCCTCCCCGGACCATGTGAACCGCCCCATCAATGGCAATGGCAAGCAGTAGTGCACTAAAGAGACAAGAGCTTCTTGCCTCCTTTATCCCAGGACTAATAAAGTTTGTAAGACAGATCAGTGCCTCTGGTGCTGTTTCTTGGTGAAAGGGGGCCCTGGGACCCTCAGGTTGGAAAAGGGCAGAGGACCAGGAAGCTTGCCCACAATGGTGGGACCAGGACATCTTCCTGCTCAATAGTTGTTGACCTTTTGAAATAGGAAGGGGGAGAAGACTAGGAAGAGAAATGAACCAGCATCTAATGAAGAGGGTCCTGGGTTAGTTTACCAGTAAGTGCCAGGAACACTCGACACCTGGCTGCAGGCCGGAGCTCGTTTGCAGGCTTGGGATAGGCTGAGGCACTGTGACCTGAGGCTGTCCTGGTGGAGG